TAGCTACCTATCCAGGCTGGAAAGGGGTCTTTGTCCAGTAGGTGTTGTCCAGAGGGGGGTCGCCAGCAGGGCCTCTGGGTGGATAGGTGGTGTGGCGTGGTGCTGGTCCAGATGGAGTGGGTGTCCCAAGGAGTCAGTCTTCACTGCCCCTTTTATGGGGCAGACTACGTCTGATCTCCTATGGGGAGGGCCTGTCCAGGCAAGGTCAGTCCTGTCCCAGTGGGCTCCAGGAGTTCTAACTGAGCATGTGCAGCCTGGCACAATGGTGGTTGCCTCGTCTTTTGTTTCTTAAATGCTGCGGGTGGTTCCAAGGGCTGGGTTGTTGGTCCAGGTATTGGTGTTGATGGTTTGGTCATTCAGAGGGAGCTATTTTTAGACCTACTGCCATTGTCCCTCAAGCACCCTCATTCATCCCCATTCATTCAGAAACCAAGTTACATAGGAAGGGTAGGTATGAGTCATGGGTTACACAACCGGGCCTGGGGACACTTGACAAACGAAATGGAAACTTGACATGACTTATGCTAACTTACATATGTAGGCGTATATCATATAGTACCAGTAAAACAGTAATATAGAACAGTAACAATCAATATGAACATAATAATTATACAATATAAAGAAGGACAAAAAACAAAACAAATACAACTTGCTCCCAAAATAAAATGGTGAAGCTTATCCTATGTCTTAGCTCACTTATACTTATCTATAGGGAATAGAGAGGGAAAGAAAAAGTCAGAAATGGTTGGGGAAGGGGAGGGAATGCATTTTAAAAGAAAAAAAAGAAAAACGGGGTTTTGCTACAACTTGATCACTTGTGGGAAGTTCATGGGAAAATACTCTTGCTTCAACGTTCTCAGAAAGAATGGTTACTTCAAACACTACATTTTAAATATATATTAAGATAAAGTGATAAAGTAGAAACTGAGAAATGATTTGTGCGGTATGATACTCTTTCTTGTGGCTTCAGTGTATAGATTTAATAATGTATAACACATTAATTTCCACTTTTGACAAATGTGTTATCTGATGAGTTAGAGAAAAGGTTTTCATGACGTTCACTTGTGAGCGGTTTGGACAAGGGTACCAAATAATGCTGTAAAAATCCTAATTCTTCTTTGGAGCAGAAATCATTTACACAAGAGAGAATTTCCAAATTGCTGCTAAATATTCTCTGTCATTGGCCATGGCTTCTGAAAGAACAGTCTACATTTTCATCAAATAAACCAGAGCATGTGTGTTTTTGCCTTAATGCAACTATGTCATTTGTTTCTTTTTCCTCTTCTTAATGTAAAAAGAGAGATGAGCTAGACCTATATTACTCTTAGCTGGACTTTTTTTAGACAACATCTTATTTAGCTTACCCAAATGTCATGTGCATACCAGCTAGAGTGTCTGCTCTGAACCTTCTCCAAAGAGATTACTGCAAACCTCATAGGACAGATGAATGAGACCTCGAGACAAACTGCCTTTGAATAAAGCAAGGTTCTTTCAAGTGCCAGAGGCATGTAAAGAAGAATTTGGTACCAGTTTCCCTTCACCTTTCACCACAGTTCTGGGAGAAGCTAGCTTCCCGAGTTGGTTTCCTACCCCAGGTCTGTTAGTCCTCTGTTGGCCAGCTCTGTGCCCACTGCAGAAGTCACGGCAGTTACGAAAAAGGCAAGTCAGATGACATCAGATTCTCCAAAATTGCATTCTCATCCCCTCTTTTTTCAGTTGCTTTTTACTATCTAGAAACAAAGTGCTTCCAGAACGAGGCCCTGCATCTCCTCTGCCCCTTCCCTGCACTTGGTGGAGCCAGGTCCTTCTTTTAAATGCTGTTAAACTATGAAAAAAAATGTCTGAATCCCGCATGAAACCTATTTCTTTATCAGTGGCAAGGCATGTTGCTATAACAGGGCTACTTCAGTATTACCATTTTAGTACTTTATATTGAGGTTGTTTAATGTTAGTGGTGGTAACGTTGGTTTATGAAGCCGGTAAGCCTCAAGCTCTAGTGAACAGTCCACACTACAGTACATTTAATGAAGATAAGGGAGTATTGCATACTTGAGCAATTCTCCTGTTCTCAAATGCTATTTGAGATATACCTTAATCAATCAAATTGACACTTTTTTTCCTCTACCATCATTCCAAACAGTAAAATATAACTTAACAATGAGAGTGTAAAAATGGTCTTTTCATGTTTATCTGGTGCACTCAATCTTTAAATCCATTTTGGTAGTTTATTGTTTGTTTTAAAACTGGCAGATTAGCGCTGCCTATATGCAGGAGAACTTTATAAAACAGATATCTTCATACATTTTTCATGTCACACCATGTTTCAGCAGAGCTGTAGTTTTGAAATTCAAATTGAAACCAGACTTGCAGGCCTAAAACAAAGTGTAGGATTTCAGCAGTGGAGAAGAAACAGGTTGTAACTTGGTGAACCGTCTGCATAGCACATACAACTTTTGTAGTGACGTCCGCGTCACAAACACAGTCCAGGGCCAACCATAATAAAATATGTTTGACTTGAGCTGTCTAGATAAATGTTCATTTTAAGTAAGACTTGTTAGTTTGTCACGTGTTATTACTGTGGCCTGCAAATCAGTTGCCTGGAGGGGTGGCCAGTGAAACGTGTTGTTTAACCTTTGGCGTGATATAATATCATTAGACTAGACAGTATGATTTTCCATCTCTTCCACATGAGAGCGTCTGACAAAGTAGGTTATTGCCTACAAAAGCCCACACACCTCTTTGAGTCAGGTAGTCTGTAAGGTGCCTCCCGGTCTGAGCTAGCTAGTCTCTAAGGATAGCTAGCCATCTGCCCTGCCACTTCCCATGTCATCTGTTTTCCAGCATTTTAAAACTGAGAGCGAAGAACAGTTTAGCGTATCAAAATCTGTTTGATATGTAACTTCAGTATTTTACTAATAAAGGTAGTTTACGTAGATACTCTGTGCCAAAATACTCATTTTACTGAAAACTACAATATTTTTGTAACATTTAAGCAATTGTTCATTTCAGATGAATGGTTATTTCCTGGAAGTCGCAGTGAACGTTCTTACATGGATCCCAGTGGGCAGTTGACTCAATGTGCAACCTACAGGAACTTAGTCGTGCCATTGGACAGAGATGTTGAAGGTGAAAGCAAGCAAACAGGTGAACAGCAAATCGGCCATAAACAGATTTTCACATTTTCATCGAAGCCTCGATCAGCTCCTCGTGGGAAGTCCCCGAGTATGTCACCAGAAAGGTGTACATTTCCCTTGGATGTAGATGAGACCTGCAGTGGGCTCCGCAGAGAAGCCCAAATGGAAGATGACTTCTATGGAACTGACAGCAGTGAAGAGGTAGGCTGCTTTATATCAGTAACTCTTAGTAAGGCACTTTTCACCTTAAAACCCTCAAGATGAGATTCTGTCCTGAGGTTACATAGGTCTTCAGAGGGGAGAAGCCAGTCCCCCCTTCTCCTCCCTGCTGTTCAAACTCTGCAAGCAAATTTGCCTTAGCCGCGTTAGTGTCTCTGTGTTGGGAGGGGGAAGGAAGAAAGTGGACATGGGATGAGGAGTGAAAGGCCACCTTGCCCCAATGCTTCCCAGCTGAGTGACAAGGGTCATACGCTGAAAACAGCAAAAGGACCGTCGGAAAGCTTGCACTCTGCTGGTCCGACAGGAGCAGACCTCCTGTGCTGGCCTGAGCCCCACGGCTCCACCCAGCACTTGAGCGGTTCTACAAGCTGTGTATCCTGTCACAGTACAACCACGTGTGGCGTTGCTCAGCGGCACGTTTGAGGTTCATAGATTCATAGATGTTAGGGTCAGAAGGAACCTCAATAGATCATCGAGTCCGACCCCCTGCATAGGCAGGAAAGAGTGCTGGGGCT